AGCTTAATTAGGGTTCAGGGTTTGGGCTTGGAAAGCCTAGCAGAAGTCCTCAACCCTAAACCCACCAAACCTCAAACATCCTATTTAATCCAAACAGCTGCACCATGCGTCATGTTCCACGGCCCCATACCCCAAATCCTAAACTCTAAACCTCTACAACTGTACATCTACCATTATTATAAGCTATAATCAGCTATAAACCTATCTTTTGAGCGTGCCTTGTTTGGCGGGGTACGTTCTATAAAGTACCTTAGCCTGGCAAACCTACTTTTCTTTTAGGTTCCTACAAACTCCATATTAGGGTTTGTAGTAAGAAACTACGAAAGAGTAGGATATGGTAGTTGAAGGCAAGGTCAACCCTAGGTGAATGGGTTTTTTCTCGAGGAACGCCGGACTAGAGCTGTCTACATTGCTTTTGGTACAGACAGTGCTAGTGGTATAGGGGCTATGAAGGGGTCTTGGGAACGACCCAGAGGGGACCGGCCCAGAATGTGCAGAAAAACAGGCCGTCACCCTGCCAGCCCTGTCCTCATTCTCTGCCCGGCCAGCCATCCTTCACTGGGACCGACCGAAAGTTTAGGGTTTAGGGTTTAGGGTTTAGGGTTTAGGGTGTAGGGGGCTCTGCAGACGAGTGGGGAACTGCCGGGGAACGCGAGGACGCGCAGGCAAGAGGCTTGGGGCTAGCTTGTTTGGGAACCTCCATGCTGCGATCCTGCTACATACTAGGTTTGGGTTTAGGGTTTAGGGTTTAGTGTCTATATATACTAGCTTTGGTCCGAAGTCTATCTTAGGGAATCGGGAAGGGGTTCAGAGTTGCGGGGTTAGCGGGATCCTCAGGCCAAGTCGATAAGCTCAGGGCTCAGGCCACTGTTGGATTTGATGCAGCAGTTTTCACTGTAGCTGTACTACCAGCCATTCTACAACTGTTGCTTTTTGGCGGAAGGCTTCGGGTTCCGCATTGAGGAGTCGCGGCATGGGGTAGAGCGAGTCGAGACCTCGCTACTATAGAAACAAGATGCAGCAGCAGCATCAATGTTGATACTGGCATCAGCAACAAGAAGAGACCCACCACCCACCCAGCCACCACCACCGCCACCAATAAAGCAACATCCTTCATCGTCAGCATCGTCAGCATCTCCATGACCATCTGAGCCCCTGAAGCGTTTCAGCCAAAGAGCACTCTGAGAGGCGGGCCACGAGCGGCTAGGATCTCACCCGTCGGAGCTGTCCATGCGCCATTTTGCAGTTCGCTTCCGGTCGCCGAATCTGTTCTTGAAGTTGCGGTTCTGTCTACTGGGGTCCTGATAAAACAGCACGCTACTGCCGCATATATAGTAGTTTAGGTCGATGTAATTGGTGCCTCAATTTGTTGTTTCCATTCCTCTGGCACAGGGTTTTGTTCTTGTCACCAGGTAGGGTGGGCGGGGTAGCTCGAAGACGTGTTCTTCGCATCAGAGCCGTTGGCATCGTAATCAGTCGGAATCTGGGTTTAGGGTTTAGGGTGTAGGGTTTAGGGCAATCAGTCGGAATCTGCACTGTAAAGCAATCTGGTTACCCTGAAACTCTGCCGCACAACCTCCGAGATTAAAGTGAATCTCGCAAGCCCCCCACCCCCCACCCAATGATGCAGGTCG